ATTATCTTTATTTTAATATAAAAATAAAAAATATTTATTAGTAAAATTGAAAACTTTTATATAAAGAGAAAAACTTGTATTTTTTGTATTTTTACTATGTTTTATTAATAAATTTGTTTTAGTGTTCCATTCTTTTTGATTGCTACTGTATATAATTCTTTTATAAATAAATACTAAATTATTAATAAAATTAATTATTAAATTAATATTCAAATTAATATTTGAATTAATATTTAAACTAATATTTAAAAATATCTATTTAATAAAATATAAATATAATTATCCAATAAAATTATAATAAATATATAATTATAATTATTTAATATAAATAAATATATTTATAATAACTATTATATATAATAATTATTATAATTTGTTTAATTATAAAATATTATTTAATTATAATAATAAAATATAATTATTCAATAAAAATTTGATATTTTTGAAATTGCAAAATTTAATTTATAATAATCTAGTTAGATTTTTCTAAATATAACTCTATAACTCGATGAAAAATATAAAAAAAAGTTGAAATAACTTGTATTTATAAAAATCAAAAAATATATATAAGGTAGACATGGGTATTATGACGCATTACTAATAATTTACATAATAAGCTATTAGTAATGCGTCACAATTTAAACCGCGTCATAATACCCATATCTATATTATATTATAAAATAATTAAATTAAATTAAAAAATATATTTAGAAAAAATCAAACTTAGTAATTATAAAAAGATTATATTTAGAAGAATTTAATTAATAAAAACTAATAAAAATTAAAATGAAATTAATATTTCAAATTATTTTTTATATTAATCTAATAAATCTAAAATAATTAAATATCTAAACTATTTAACTTGAAAAAATCTGATAAAAATCTTAATCTCAATTTTTAACCAGTTTTTATCAAACTTAAATTAGTAAAATGAAAGATATTTTATATAAATTAATTTATTTGAGATATAAAGTTTATATGAAATCTTTTTTATTATTATTAAAATATAAAAATACTAAAATTATATTACTTATATTACATTTGGTATGGTGCTGGCACCATACTATTTTGAAATAATATATCTTTTTCTTGAAAAATTATAAGCTTTTAAATTTTGTATAAATATTTTTATTATTAATATTATTTTTTAAAAAAATTTTTTATTATTAAATTTAAAAAACTTAATATACAATTAAATTATATTATTTCAAAAATAATATTTTTTCTTGAAAAGTTATAAACTTTTAAAATTTGTACTAAACCTCAAATAAATTGATTTATATAAAATATCTTATACTCTATTAGATTATATTAAATATTTCCTGAAAACCTGGAAAAAACCTGAAATAAACCTAATAAAAGTTGATTAAAAATTATTATCAGATTTATTTTAGGATTTTTCAGATTAAATATTATTATTCAGAAAATATTTTGAAATATTTGATCTAATTTAAATCTAATAAAAGCTATTATTAATATTTTTATCAGGTTTTTCTCAAATTAAATTTTCCAGATATATTTATTGAATTAGTAATTTGAATTAAATACAAATTTTTTTATTTATCAATAAAATTGTTAAGCAGGTTTGTTTTTATTGATAATTATTTTTTTATCAGAAATTTAATCTTATTTATCTTTGCTGAATTATATAATATAGTACATTAATAAAAAAGTTAATTGTTTATAATCTATTTGTTATATTTAAAGTTAAGATTTCTAGATTCAAAATTTGAATATCATGATTATAAAACATATCCAAACAGTAACAATATTTGTTTATAAAAAATATAAACGATGAATGATACTAATAAAACTATATGGATGCACTTTTAATCCATGAGAATAGTTGAACTAGCAAAAAAGCATCCAACAATAATAATTTTTTATTTAAAGGTTTGAAAATTAGAAAAAGGAAATTGATGCTGATAATGAAAAACAACGATAATGACAATGAATTTATTTTATTATAAATTTTTTATTGATTCATTATAAATTTGCTCCAATTCTTTCTCCCATTGCGGATTAAAATGAATATGCCCTTTATTATTATTAGGCGGGGCCACCAAAGCCTTCAACTGAACTAACTCCAAAAGGAGTTTTTCATAAGCAGCAGTATTTGTAGTTGGTGCTGCTGTTTCCATATTATTTTTGAATAACATAGCTGTCTCGCATTTCTGGTAATTCTGTAACAGAATCTTACGACGAATAGGTCTCTCCAAGAACTGTATAATTTCTCCCAGGAATAATATATGATTCGACACGAGTCCTTTTGATTCAAAAAATGTGATGGCATTCTTAAAGCTTATCAGCGTATCTAATGGTACACCAGGCAACTTTACCGAAATATCCAGTGATGGTAGCTTATTTGGACCGGGATCGCAGATTAAGAGTTCTTGTGATGTGGATGAGATAAATTTTTTTGTTGTTGTTTCTGTTTCTGATTTGGGGTTTTGTTCTTGATTATTGATGTTGCTAGGATTTTCTGTGGGTTCGTCATCGTCTGAAACTAAAAGACGACCTTGGGAAATGTATTTCTTTATGGTGTTTATTAATTCTTGATGTCGAACACCAACATCTGGAATAGTTTTGAGCCAACGACTGTACCCGTATTGAACTGCATTGAGCAATTTAGATAATTTGATTGGCTAATTAAACAAATAAATCAATTAGTATATTCAAAAATAGAAAAACAAAATAATATGCAATCCTACTCACTCTGCCTTTGTTAAATTGCCTCAAAATCCATTCATATATTTCTTGCTCCTCTTCTTCCCTGGTCATGGGATACCGCTCCGCCCAACTCTTATATTCGGGATTTCGTCTATCCACCAACATATTACAATAAATCTGATATCCCGCAAACGCATCCGCAGCAGCATACTGAACCAATTTTTTGTCCAACTGCACCGCATCAAAATTCCATTTTCTTATCAAATTTTTAGATTTTTCCAGCACCAGTCCAGGATTTCCATACATCAATGTCAATTCGGCTAGCGATAGCTTAGGTAATCCCTTTTCTTGCGCCATCTTCTCTAAATCAACTGTACCACTGCACCGAATCTTGTAAGATTCACGAAGCCAGTTAGCATCACCACTTGCATTCACTCCGACTTTTAGGGTTTTTGGATCATCGAGGAAGTCAGCCAATGCACGCGGAAATTTTGTGTTGTCTCCTCGTGTGATTCGATACACTTGAAAAATAAGACATAATTCATGTGTTGCTATTTGTATCATTGAGACAACTCGGGGATTTTCTCTGCGAAATACTGTGGTTTCCGTATCGAATCCGACATATTCGAATGGCCATGCCAGATTTTGTTTCATCATTTGAAAACATCGATTAACTAAATATAAATTTGACGCGTAAAAACAGAAAATAAATTATAAAGGTCATGTGCATTGACATGTTTAATATATGAATGAGTGATGAAAAGGCAATTACTGTGTTTTGTGTTGGAAAGCAGGAAAACTGGCGGATGTTCTTGTATTCTTGGTATGTTAAAGCTATCTAAGGTCTGGACTAGATTCAAGTTCCTGGTGTACTGAAGTTCTGTATTGGCAACAGTTGATGGTGGTGGCGGTTGAGCGAGTGATGGTTCAATTGGGAAATGTGAAAGTTTGGCGGCTCTTTGCATGTTCAACGAAATTGCTTTGTTGTCGATAGTTTAATTTTGAATTTAAATAGCGCCTAAATTGTGCATTGTGTAACTTGTTAATAACGGCTAACCCGATTTCGAAAAGACTGTTCTTTCCATCTCACAAAGATTGTCTTTAACGTAATAATGTCGACGATTGATTTCAGCCAAAAAATAAATTCTACAAGTACACGTCGTCGCGTTGCTATTATTGGTGCCGGCCTTGTTGGATCACTATCTGCTATATATTTCGCGAAACGAGGCTGGGATGTTTTACTTTTTGAACTCAGAAAAGGTGAAAATATACCCGTGTATATATAATGATTATGATATATTGTATCTCTAAATTTTTTATTGTGTTCAAGATTTAAGAGTTCCAGAAAGTACGCCCTCTTATTTACATAGATCCATAAACTTGGCTCTCTCAGCTCGAGGTATAAGTGCATTAAGGATTGCTGGGTCGAATCTTATTGATGTGGTGCTTAGTCAAGCTACTCCTATGAAAGGAAGAATGATTCATACAGGAGAAGGGAAATTGCATAGTCAACTTTATGGTACATTTGGAGAGGTAAAGTATTTTTTCATTATTGACGATATAATATTATCGATGATATAATGAATTTAATTGTTTCGTATGATATAATAAATTTTAATTGTTCATAGTGCACATATTCAGTTGATCGTGCAAAATTGCTCATGTTGCTTTTAGACAACGCTGAGGAATTCAAAAACGTAAAAATTTATTTTGAACATCGATTGAAACGATGCGATTTTGATGCTGGAGTGTTGGACGTAGAAAACATGTTTGTAGCAATAGTAGTATTCTCATTTTCAAAATCTAATAACAAACAATTTTCGCTAACTAAAACATTTTTGAATGTAAAAAAGAAACGAAGGAACCTCATCCAAAATTGAGGCAGATTTAGTCGTTGGCGCAGATGGTACGTATTCTACAGTCAGAACCCAATTGATGCGTGTTGTCCGAATGAACTACCAACAGGAATTTATTTCGCACGCGTATTGTGAACTAAGGATTCCGCCTAAAAGAAATGAGAAAGGTGAATTTGAATTCGCGATGGACCCGCATCATTTGCATATTTGGCCGCGGCATACTTTTATGCTTATTGCATTGCCGAATTTGGTAATTATTTTATATATATATATATTTGGTTTATTATTAATGACATACTTGACACCAGTGTTGTCGTTTGGACGTAAATACAGCAATTTGATTGGCTGGGACAAGCATCCCGACTAATCAAATGGCTGGATTTACGTACAAGCGACAACACTGCTTGACACTATTATCTTTGGTAATTGCAGGATAAATCTTTTACTTGTACTCTATTTATGCCATACGAACAATTTGATGCAATCAAAACAGAAGGCGATTTGATAGCATTCTTTCAACTGTATTACCAGGATGCTCTTCCTTTAATTGGGGAGCAAAATATCAAGAAAGATTATTTCCTTAATCCGAAAGGTTCTTTAATTTCTATTAAGGTATATATAATAAAAATCTTCGATTGTTTTGATGATTATAATATATTTATCTTATTGTTTCTTTATCTACAGTGCAGTCCTTATCACTACAAAGATCGCGTTGTAATCATAGGAGATGCTGCACATAGCATGGTTCCATTTTTTGGACAGGGCATGAACTGTGGATTCCAGGACGTAGAAATCCTGTACGAAATTCTCGAACAGCACAACATAAACCCCGAAAAACCCCAAATAAATAATATTAACACTGATAATACAAAAGAAATGAAATTCCGCAAAGATCTAGAACGTGCACTTGACACGTACACACAGTTCCGACACATTGATGTGACGGCAATCTGTGATCTAGCAATGTACAATTACTTCGAGATGCGCTCTTCCGTGGTAAACCCGATATTTGTAGTGCGAAAGAAATTCGGGGGATGGTTGCATTGGCTGTTCCCGAGTCGCATAATTCCGCTGTACACTATGGTAAGCTTTTCCACTATGCGGTATTCGGAAGTTCAGCGGAAATGGAAACGACAAAATTTTTGGGCGAATGTGGTCGGCGGATCGACCATTTTGGCTACTTTTGTGATGTTGGTGTTGGGATTGCGGTATGGCAATTATAAAGATCGCGTGGTGTCAAGTATAAAAAATATTTATGAAAAAATTTCTCAAAATTAGTTAGTAGCATTTTTTGTTATATATGCAAATAGTAATTCTAAGGGTGGTCGGATAAAAAAGTAAAGAACTCTGTTAATTGATCTCTAGCTCGAATTATAGTCCTTGATGATTATGGAATTACTAATAATTTGCCACATTGTTTACGAGAGTTGTTAGACTCTGATATTTGTTTTGTGTTTGCTTGTGTGGTGGCTCGTTACAGGAGAGAATACATACAACTGACCAGTAAAAAAAAACTATATACAAAAAAAAGTTGAATCGTTCTATTAAAGAGAATCATGGTAGTAATAATGCTAACAAAAAATGGTTTAAGAAAAAATGCAGAAAAGAAAGCTATAAAAATTGATTTCTGCTAATGTAATATATTACATGCGTGAAGAATGTAAGACATAAATAAACACCCACAGACACGATAATCATCCGGATTCGGATGATATAATGTAAAAGATACCTGTTTTCATACTTCAAAATCTCCCTCGATTACGATCTGGTAGAAACCAATTGGATGATGATGAAGGTGGTGGTATTCGCGACTTTGGTATGTTACGCTGTTGGTGATGGATGATGAAAAGTATGGCGATAAAAAATACACGAATGGGATACGATGATTGAGGAATAGTCGATAGATAGGAACATGGGAATAAATAGGTAGGAAAGAGAAAAGGAGATAGAAGCCAAAAATAGGTTAACAATAATATGGAAACCATAAAGAGAACGCAAATATTGAGTTTTTTCGTTCTCTCTCTACCCTGGATGGTGGCTGAATTCCTCCTATTGGACCTCTTGATGAATAGACGGATGATTGAGGCAGAGGTTGTCTATCAAAATATTGATTGGAATATCGATGATAATCTCGATTATTACCATCGCCGCTATTATAATAATAATGAGAATAGGCATCGTCTCTTCCACCAAACCGATTCTGGTATCATTTAACGAAATCACATAAAATCAATTTGACGATTACAAACTGAAATTTGAACAAAAATTAATAATCTTGTACTAACAGCAATCCCACTGAACATTGCAGAAGAGGATGCAGTTGACGAAGAGGACATCGTTGTTGTTCCACCATATCCATGGTTCATCCCATTAACACCACGATTATTATGAGTATTGTTAGGAGTGCCATGATTATTTATAGAATCGAAAAATGTGAGCGAGGATGATGAATATTGTTTATTCAATTGACCTACTGAACTCGGGGCAAGCTCCTCAGCAGGACGTTTTATCGGAAACGGAAGCTGTTGATGGAAAGCTGTTACAGAACCACTATTTCGATAGGGATCATTATGAGAAACAGCAGCAGCCGTGGAGGGATATTCAGAATTATATTCTGTAAGAGGTCGACGACCTTTGCTTATTATCAAATATGATGATGGTGATGACGGATCTCTGGAAGATCCTAATGGCGGTTGAGGTGGCGATAATGGATGCGGAGGCGATGCCAGACTTGTGTAAGCAGCAGAAGCCGATAGACGAGAAGAAATCGCTATAAATTGTTTGATTGTTGACAACACACCATAATATTATTTCCGAAATTGAAAGTGTGTATGTGAGAATATGTATTTTTTTTGCGGAAAATGTGGCCATTCAATCATCCTAGAGAATTATTACTCCAGAATTTTTTGAGTCTGGTAAAAAGGATGTGCAAGGACAATTAACGGAGACGTACATTCCGATGATGATGATGCTGCTGTTGTTTTGACAGCTTCTTTGCTTTCCGATGTTTCAGAGGCACGAGAATTATGAATGCGATGAATGTTGTTCTTCGATATCGTGGTGTTTCTGTGTAAGGAATAAAATTTAAATTGAGATTTTTTTATGAGCCTAATGATCATTAATATCTAAAATAATATATTGAATTTTTTACGGATTTTTCAATTGTTTTCTTTTATATTTTCAATTTGAATATTTTCTTTCTAATTCAATTGATTCCTCTTTCCTCGTAAATATTGTTTATCAAGTTAATTGATTAGACATGTATTCTTCAACACTTAATCCAAGGATTTTTTTTTGAAATTGGACCATTCTCTCAAAATATATATACATATTGTCACATATCTTACTTCTGATATGGAATGTTTTGAATGCGACTTTCTTTCGTTCATTGATTAATTGCTATACTCCAATTTATATATGACTATTTTCCGCACATATCGATAAACAAAATGAAGCAATAATAGGTGGATGAAGGTTGTCCGATCTTCTAATTAATCGTTCTCACTCACCATAATTATAATATTAATAACATTTTTTCATATCAAATAAAAAAGAACATACTTCACCAAAAAAAAATTAATAAACCTACCGATTACTTTTCGACTTTTCAATCACATTATTATGTTTACTAGTATTATTGGTATTACTATTATTCACAACGACATCACCTTTCTCTTTTTCTTTTCCTTTTTTCTTCCGCTGTTGCTGTTGTTGTTGTTCAGTCTTCTCCTCTTTTTTCAATCGTTCACAATACACTTTTTTCTTTTCTTTTAATCGCTGAATTTTTCTAATAACTTGCTGTTCTTTAGCAATCAATCTACCTAAATAAATTTCTGCATCGTCGTCGTCTTCGATTTCCTTTTCGCCTAGTGCAATTACTTCGTCAAAATTTAAATCTGAGTCTAAATCTAAATCCGAGGAATCTGTGTCCAGGTCCATATCGTCTGCGTCGCCGTCAAATATAATATTTTTGTCGATGTTGTTATTAGTATCATTCGAATTGTTTTTATTACTTGAGTTATTATTATGATTATTATTATTATTATTATTTTGAAGAGTGAGATCTAAAGTTTCTCCATTCTGTTTTGTTACAGACTTTCTGCCATTAGAAATAATCATATTATTGTTATTTTCAATCTTTGACGTTGATCCATTTACTCCTATTGATTTTAATCGAACTTTTTCTTTCGATGATGATATAAATGCTGATGAAGATGAAGAAGCAACAGCATACGTTCTGCTGGTATCTTCAAATTCGTAGGGTTCATATCCCGAAGATGAAGATGCATTATTATTGTTGTTACTGCTGTTGTTGTTTCTTAATGTCCCATTACCACCACTGCCGTCCCCACCATCATCATCATCATCATAATCACCATCATCATCGAATATATTTCTTCCAGTAATATCATTCCCTAATTTTATTTTTTCCTTTGCCTTTCCTTTCTTATTATATGAAGTAGGATGTATTTGCGTTGTTGTAATTGTTGTCTCCTCGTGTTCCTCTATTCCGCCCATATAAGAACTAACCCGCACATCAAAAACACTATTGTTATCAGATAACAGTTGATCTATCTCCTCCTCCTCCTCCTCTTCTTGTTCCGTTTCTTCTTGTATCCTACGAAATATTGCTTGTTGTAGGTGTAATGGTGTAGGTGGTAGTGTAGAATATTCTCTAATAATTGGTTTTTGTTGCTCTTGTTCCATTTTTTTTCTATTATTCTATGGTTTTTCGTATTTTTTTATATGAAATGCGCAAATTTTCTATATAAGTATATTTTTTTTCTCTTTTTATATATGTAAAATACAACTAAATGCGTCGTCGCCAAATACTTCAAAAAATGCGGATCAAAATATTATCTCATCCGACATGGTGATCATTGATTTGCCGAAGAGCAAGGATTTACGTGTATCAACTTTTTTAAATATTGAATTAGAATCGTTTATTTCCAACCACAAAGTCTTCTTTGGCAGGAAAGATCCAAATGATTTCAAAGAAAAAAAATTTAAAGAGCTGCCCAAATTGGAAAATGTTGGTTCTAGTCTAGTCTTAAAATTCGCAAACGGATGAGAAAATCTGTAACGCTGAAACATCACTTTATTACTGTTTTAAAAGAGAAAGTTGATAGGATACATGAACGCGAATTTGGTCAAAGCGGCAAAAGTTTCTAATAAAGCATCTCTTCAATTTACGTTACCAGCAAAAGTATTTCACACGATGAGAATTTTGTAATGCATTATACATGTATTGATACACCCGATAGCAATAATAGTTCATTGCATGGCATATGATTACCGTCATTTGATACCTCAACATTGTTTTATTTACCTAATAATTGACTCCGAGGCAAGTTGGATCGGAGCTTCGCATCAAAACACCTTTATCCAACCTAAATTGCTATCTTTTCTTCCTTCGTTTGCTTTTCTTTATTTTTAGAAAATCTACTTTTTATTTGGTTTCTGCTAAAGTAATAAATAATGAGCTTTCTCATCGGGTATACATCACTTTTACTCACTTTGCAAGTTCTCGAGTATATTTTTGTCGTCACCTTGTTTTTTCCCATTCATCTTGGGACACGAGTTCAACTCACACGCGATCTCTAGTATTATAAATAAAGTCTGAAGTATAGAGAACAAGAGCCATTGTAGTAGTACTCGATAATAATATAATAATATAATATATATATATATATAAAACTAACAAGTTCTCGCATATATCAATATTGTCACAGAAAGCTTGGTAGAACAAAATCTCGAGGTAGTGCTAAAACTCCAAGTTCATCGCGTCCATTGTTTTTATCGCCTCCATTTGTTAATGCATCGTTGGTGAAGGGCAGTTTCAAGACGATCGTTGTGTTGCCAAAATATGTGGATGAGGACGAATGGCTGGCAGTGAATGGTAAAGATGCTTGTGGTTTATATATTTTAAGGAGATTTATATACAATAATAACTTTATATTTTTAGTATTTGAATTCTTTAATTATCTGAATCTCTTTTATGGATCTGTGACGGATTTCTGCACCACATCTAGTTGTCCTTCTATGAGCGCAGGACCTGGGTATGTGAATTTGATATGACGATTCTTTAGAAGAAAATTTTTGTGAAAGATTTGATTTACTTTCGAATATATATTGTAGCGTTGAGTTTTACTGGATAGATCATACTAGAAAAAGTGCAAAACTCTCAGCCCCTACTTATATAGATTATGTTATGACATGGATTCAAAATCTATTGAATGATGAAGCAACATTTCCGACAAAAGCAGGTAAGAGACATCAATATCCAATGCAATCGCCAATTTAACACTAAAAATCCAAATTAATTTTATCACACGTCATTTTGAAAGGACGCGAGTTTCCGTCTGATTTTAAACAGACCATAAAACAAATATTCAAACAATCATTTCGAGTATTCGCTCACATTTATCACAATCACTACGATAAAATTCTGCATCTGCGCGAAGAAGGCCATTTCAATTCGCTGTTCGCTCATTTTATTTCGTTCGCCAAAGAATTTAACTTGTTAGACAAGAAAGAATTGGGGCCTTTGGAGGAATTGATTGAGGTTATGGAGGCAAATGGGCACTTCAGCTAATCTGTTCCCATAATTACGATAAATAATAATAATAATAATAATAATAATAATAACAGTGATGATACTTATATTTTCCTCTCACCGACTTATTGAATAAGGACAAGTGTGGGAAGCGTACTGGTTTGTATATGGATGGAGGAAAAGAGGAACCCTAAAACTTGGTCGCTTTTATCATAAATTATTCATTTTTTGAGAATATTCTGCTGGAGCGGACGTATTATTTAAATTAAATATATCATTACATTATTGTTTTTTTCTAAATTTCATTATCTTCTCTATCTGGACCAATCGTCTATAATCGATAAATATATTCTAATACAAATATACTTGTTTGCATGATTATTCATTCAGTCATTCATTCAATGTTTATTACAAAAAATCATTATTGGAGAGACAATCGATAATCACGAAATATATACACGTCACTTACCTTATTTATCTGTTGTCTTTTAGTTTATTCTTACTGTAATACATATTGCCACATTACACATGCACGCAATCTAAAGTTTTTATAAACAAAAATGTAATATATTCTATAAGCATGGTAACACGATTAGCTAATATAATGTGAATGGGTTTTCCTTCCAAGATTCGATTAAATTTAAATAAACACGAAATACATGTAAAAATGCATAATTAATTGATTTAATTGATAAAAGTCATTTATTCACATATTACTCAATCGTCATCGTCTGAATCATTATTATGGCGACCTCGAATAGAACTACGATGAGGTCCTTGATAAGAAACTGATAGACTATTTCGACCAGAAGAAAATCCTGAAGAACTTCCTCGGTCAATTCCGCGAGTATTGTTGATATTATAACTAGCATTATTATTATTATTGTAACCACTATTCCCGCTATATGAAAATCCACCAGGATTACTTAAATTGATGTTATCGCGGCTGCGAGAAAAATTATCTTCAGTGTCAAAGTCCTCATCGTCATCACTTTCATCTTCACTATGACTGTAATAATCTCCTTCTCTACTTACGTATCTCCAGAGCTTTCTTCGTGGTACTGCTAATATATCTTTACGTTGAGGTAAAGGCTCTAATAAGCCAGGAGTTCTTTTCCATTTCGGTGATCTTTGAGTACTCGGTCGCCAATCATATACTAATTCTTTATGTTTAATTTCTGATTTTTTATTATTACGTAACTCTAGAAAATCCCAATCTTTTGTTAATAGCTTGAATAATTCCTCGTTTTTCATTATTTTTGGTGACCAATGCACTATCCAATTTCTTTCTTTACGCCATACACGCGGAGGATTAAGATTGGGTAAGGTTGTTGGCCGGTTATTAAGTTGTTTTAGTTTTTTATCAAAATCGTTAATCCTTTGCTGCAAATCATAATGACCCGCCGTATAGGATTCGCTCCATTCATCTAATTGATCTCGGTCTGCATATTTTATACCTTTCTTCCATGGTTCTGATGAAAAATCATTGATTAAACCCATGTCATTAATCAACTCCTCTGCGCTATTATCTATTTTATATTCTCCGAGTGTTAGAAAAGGCATAGGTGCAGCTCCCAATGTATTTATATATACCCTTTTTAATTCCTGTCGATGAAGTTTTCGTTGTCTTTTCGCCAATCTAGCACACAATTTCTTATACCAATCTTGATAATCACTACAATGCTGATAAAATTTCTCATCTGCTCCCGGATCATCGTGTCTAAATGTCTCGCGAATTGTCCAAACACGACGTAAGACACCCGATGTCAAGGTCATTTTTTTGAATGAAGGTGGTGGCGGTGGTATTTTACCCTCCGATTCGAGACCATAACCTCCCTTGGGACCACGTGAATGTTTGGGTGTTTTGCCCCAGACTTTTCCGATAAGGCGAAAATTTGGAATGATTTGATCGACTTTGGGCTTTATTTTACTATGCCATGATCTATCGTATCTGCCCCATTTGAAATTTTTCTCGCATTCCTTTGCAAATGTTTTTGTTTCGGTTGCATGAGTAAATCCAGTTATTGCCAAAATTGGTTCCATTTTTCCACCCATTCTCTTTGGAGCATCTACATTCTGAATTTCGGCACTCACTCTCGCTAATTCATACTATTAATTAGCCAATGAGAAGCGTGAATATAGATTTTCTAAAAAAAAGCAAAGGATTCAAAACCACAAAGAAACTAGATTGAACCATTAAATGAAGTAAAAAATAAAGGCATTTTATTAAACTTGCCTAACCTCTAAATCATTAGTCGCGCCTATAAACGTTTGATTCTTATTCATTCTTTTTATTACGTACGCGCAATGTATGTTCAGCCAACGATCGCTTAGGGGAATTCCGTGCGCGACTCTTATTTTCGGAGGTGCAAAACTCATGGTGATTTTATGTGTGTAGTAGAAGCTCTGGAATTTTCAGTTATGATCAAATGTGACTAATTTTATGTATGATTACACAAACGATGAATAAATTTTGCACTTAAAATTTTTTTCGCAAAATTTAAAAAAGCTATATAACTTGCTCAAACTTTACAAATTCGAACAACGGTAATACAGACATGCCAAAATCTAAGAAATCAACAAAAAAGTTTCAAAAGCAACACCTTAAGCAAACCATAGAACGACGAAAGAAAGTTCAAAAGATAAAAAAAGCAGTTGATCAAAGGGAAAAGAAAAGAGGTTTAAAGCGGCGTGTCGGTGAAGTTAAAAAGGCTAAAAGTAAATTTGACATTATTCTCGTTGAATATGTTTATAATGTTTATACTCATATTATTTAGCTTTATAGACGAAATAGAAACAGAAAAGAATGATACTGTAGAAAACAGTGAACCAGAGGATATGATTGAAGAGTAATAATTGGTTTTAATTTAAGCACTTTTTTGATGATTTAGTATTCTATGTAATTATTCATTAATTGATGCTTAGATTGGAGGAAATGAACTTGGATGATTTTTTGGGTGGTGACATTGCGGAGGATTTTGATAACAATTCTTGGGAAGATATAAATTCTGATGACAATTATGAAGATGATGATGATGATGATGATGATGATGATGATTCAAAATCTAATAAGAGAGATAGTTTCAAAAATTTAGAACAGAAATCTGCAATCACAGTTAGTGATAGAAAATTATTAGGGAAAAAAATTTCTCAGCATAAACAACAATTAGAATCATTAAAGGAGAAAGATCCAGAGTTTTACAAATATCTTCAAGAAAATGATACGGAATTGCTTGATTTTGATTTATCAGATGATGATGAGGGCGACGAAGATGATGTAAATGAATTAGATAATCAAGATGAAGACGACGACGAAGAAGATGATCATCAAATTAAGGGTAAAGATAACATTACCATTGAAATGGAAAATAACATAAATGGACCTCCTGTAGTCACAAATCAAATGATTACCAAATGGCAAGAGGCTATTACTGAGGTAACACTAAATAAATAAGAATCCGAAATGAGTATCAAATAATGAATCAACCGTTTTTTCTTTAGAAAAAATCATTGCGCTCTTTACGACGTATACTCTTGGCCTTTCGTGCAGGTGCTCATATTAATGAAGACGGTGATGGAAAATCATTTGCATATAGAATCACAAGTGCAGCGGGTAATAAACTATTCAAATATCTTAAATTTCATATAGTCTCTTGATATAATGTAATATTTTGTATTTTTCTAGTATTTAATAATTTAGTGGTGGTATGTTTGAAATATGTGATCCCAGTATTTGATCATCATCTGAATTTCAAGGAAGGAGAAGTAAAAAAGTAATTATTATTAATATTTTTATTGGAATTGTTCTGTTTTTATATCATCATTCTTATTGCTTTGCTTTTAAGAAAACATCCCAACTCTTGTAAAAAATGGAAAAATATTGAATCTTTTGTGAAATCGTATTTACAAAATATACTTCATATGCTTAAAAATTTATCGGAAAATGATATGATATACTTTATTGTCAAAGAATCAGAAAAATGTGTTCCATATTATTTATGTTTCCCAAAGTTATCTAGGAATTGGTTAAAGGTAATTGTTATCATTATATTATCGTTTAAATTAGTTATATAATAAAGTGTTTGACTTTCTTAAAGACACTTTTAGAATTATGGGGATCAGCAGAAGATAAAGTGAGAATAGTTTCATTTCTAAATATTCGTAAACTCGCGACTGTTGGGCCATCTCCTATGATAGATATATGTTTGAAGGTATATTTATTTTTTTCTATTTTACAAATAAATAAGATATATTTTAATAATATTTTTGTCAAATAAAAAGGGCATTTACATGACTTTTGTACGAAATTGCAGAACTACTACTGTGTACACGATATCTTCGACAAATTTTATGACTAATTGTGGTGTAGAAATTTACGGACTTGACTTAAAAGCATCATATCAATTTGCATTTGTTTATATAAGGCAACTAGCTATTCACTTGAGGAATTCTATGCTAGTAAAAAGCAAAGTAGGATATCTTATATCTTTTAACAGTATTCGCAATTTATAATCATTATAAATAAATTTTTAATTTATGCTTTCTATGTGAAACTTTAGGAATCTTATCAAAGTGTTTATAATTGGCAATTTATACATTGCTTAGAATTTTGGTCACGAGTGCTAACAGCTTTTTGTGATCAAAGAAGAATAGCAGAGACTGGCAAAGAGAGTCCATTGCAACCTTTAATATACCCATTAGTTCAAGTTTCTCTTGGCGTTATCAGGTATTTCTTCAATTTATTACCTCTTAGAACTAACTAACTAATTAATTAATTATTGATTGAATATTTTATTTTATAGATTAATTCCAACCTATCAATATTTCCCTTTACATTTCCATTGCTTACGTTTCTTGATTAATTTAATACAAAAGACTGGGACTTTTATACCGCTTGCTCCTTACCTTTTCGATATATTGGAGTCACCTGAATTACGACAAAAACCAAAACCTTCAACTTTAAAACCTCTTGATTTTTCTCTGCATTTAAAAGCACCTAAGTGTTACTTACACACTCGAGCTTATCAGGTAACTTATTGTTTATTTATATTCGTCATTAAATTATTTAAAAATGACTTTCTATTAAATAATAGGATGGTATTTGTGAAGAGATTATAGATGTACTTTTAGAGTATTATGCTTGTTTCTGCTTATCCGTTGCTTTTCCAGAGTTAGTTGTCCCGGCTATTGTACAGGTAATTAGTCACAAGTTTGGGTTGTGATGAAATAATAAATCTTAACATAATTTTTATTAATTATATTGTAATCAATAAGATTAAGCGACATATTAAAAAATCAAAAAATGTAAAAATGAACAAGCAACTGCATAATCTTGTTGAAAAGGTAAGAATGAATAGTATTCTGAGTAAAAATTTTTTAAATGGTTGTTAATTGTATTCTCGTTTTTTGCAATTTTCAGTTTGAGCAAAACTCAAAATACATTGAACAGCATCGAGCACAAATAGAGTTCGCACCAAATGATCGTGTTAAGGTGGTAAGTGAAAACAAGAATTTGATTTTTAATTTTTTTCGATATTTATACCTGATTATATTCTCTTTTTTATTCTTTAGCAAGCTTTTATGAAAGAGTTTGATCAAGAATCCACGCCGTTGGGCTCGTATGCAAAATCAGCACGAAAATTAAAAGACCAACGTAATAAATTATTGAATCGAGAAAAAGAAAATGAAGAATAAAATAGTTAGTTTGACATTGAAGTTTGTCCTAGTTTCTTACGATAGCTATAATTTTTCTTTTAATTTAATTGCATTGTCAATAACGATAATATCGTATTTGCATAGATATAATCTGTGCTCATTTCACGATCACATGATAATGTGCTGGAAACTAATAAGAATATGTCAGGTTGATCAAAAATTTGCTACATTCCTATTGGTTGGATTGGTTCATCATCACCATACATTTTTTTCGCCTATTACCACAACCAACAACCACACGTTTATTTACCGTTTTGTTTCGCGTGTCTAAAGAGGGATTTAAGTACAGTTATGCCACAGTTAATAAAAAGCTAAATAGAAGAACACACCTAGCGACCCATTTACCGTCAAAAAGAAACCATGTCGTTAAAAACACGTCTAAGGTAACTTGGTTTACATTTAATCGCGTCTGTGCTTATTTTTCGTGTTTTATTTATTCATGTATACCATTTATTTTCGTGTACTGCTTATTTTTTTCGTATAATTTTATATATTTAAGACCTATATGTGTTAAGCCTATGTATTATATCTACGACTCCTAATCATCATAAGCTACCTTGGCCGGGATGGTAAGTCTTGTTTAACTTTGCAATCTTCCACTTGTGCTCTTACCAAGAGGCAAAATTCTCTTCAGTTTTTAATATGTTTTACTTTTTAGTTCTCATCACCTATTTAAGCAAACGAAAACATCGTTATACCGCGGGTTCTTAACCTTGCATCGCGACGTAATTGTCGCTTCGTTATTACCTAAAAGTACGTAGATCAACCTTGATAACACTTGGCGCTATCGCTTTTTAACAGAAACAAAACGGCTGTTAGACCACAATACCTTTGAAATTTAAAAAAAAAAGGTGCGTTTTTTCATCTTGTAACGAAAGGGTAACCCCTAGTTGAGATAACTCCTAGTCGAGATAACTCCTAGTCGAGATAACTCCTAGTTGAGATAACTCCTAGTCGAGATAACTCCTAGTCGAGATGACTCCTAGTCGAGGCACCCTAAGGAGGAATTGGTTATGCATCTTCCTTTATTACTAGATAAAAATTGTACTGATATTATTTCCATAACAGGTGTAATTTGAACGTTTTGAAAAATGGTTAAAGCCATACTGGAAAGGTGTGCTTAGAGAGTGTGAAAAAGAAAATCTAGTGCCTATATCGGCTGGTAAGTCCTATTTTACCTGTATTTGCGAGCAAATAAAACTGAATTGGAGCTATTATCAACAATACTCCGCCTACCCTAATTTAGATAAGAGTACCATTACCACTAAATCAACTACTGCTCGCACTCCATTTTCAGTCGAGAGTTGGACTTCATTTTTTAAAGAGGTTCAATTTGATGACAATATTAGACGATATCCCCAGCCATCTTTTAAAAATTACGATAAAAGTTATGATATATCAAATGAAGAAGATGTAAGAGGCGCTTTAAAGAATAATGTATTTGATAATCTCCATATTATTACAACTTCACAACAACCAATAGAGGTGTTCAAGCGGATTTCAAAAGAGGATAGTATTATCGGAGTTCCAGATTTCATTTATAAGCGAGCTGGCAAATTGTTATTGGTAATTGAAGTGAAGACTCTGGGTTTTATATTTAGAAGATGGTGAATCACTATTTGAATAAAAAAATAGTGAAATAATATTTTCAAACTCTGGTGGAGAGATTTCTGTTGTGGATATTTTACGCCAGATTTTTGGATATTTAGTTATTAACAAATTGCAATACGGTATTCTTTCAACTTACAACCAACACTGGTTCCTTCGAAGACCTAAAGATGAATCACGTGCTCTATATTTCTCCTACTATAAATATAGAATCAAGAAATCCAACAGTCTTTCAGTGTTATGCATTTATACAGCATCTAGGGCAGATACTGAATGCCCTAGTCTGGGAAAAACACCACCATCATCACCATCACCCAATTTTGACGATAGTGATAGCTCTGATAATAATATCTTGGAATCCGATTATGAGAAGTTCTTAAAGTCATCTAAATGAAAACGAAACTCTAAAGAAGAGCAGAATAAAGTTGATATAGAAATTATAATAGAGAGAAGCAAATTCAAAACTAAGATTTAGTTTTAGATAACATTTCATTAGAGTATCATGTGATACAAAAATCATTCTCTTAGAAAACAATCAAATTCATGTGATTTTAGCAAAGCAAAGATTTTCTGAAAATTGAAGTATCTGAATTGGAGCAAAATAATAAGATTAATAAAAATCAAATAATAAAACAAATTAATTCAAGAATTATATTTATCTATTGGAAAAAAATAACTATCAAAATTTGTGATTTTTGTAATAAATTTAAGATTTTGTTCAATATTTATTTTATTTAAACAGTAATCAAATCTTGACAACAGGAAATCTTAAACTAATATTACTAATATTATTTTCTTGAATTTGAAAACAAGATTTGTGATATTACAATTAATAATAAAATCAAAAATAAAACAATTAAAACAATAATTTACAAAGAAATAAAATCTTTTTTCTAATATTATACAAAACTTTTTATATTATTTGGAAAAAATAAAATTAAACTAGATAAAACTAAACTAATCATATAAAATTTTAAAATTAATATTCAAATTCAAAATATTATAAATCAAATGAATTCAAAAATTATTTTTTTAGAAAATAATTAAATTAATATATTATCACTAATCTGATATAATAAACATAAATAAAAATACAGTAAAAACAAAATTAGTTATAATTATATCTAGATTATTAATTTTTATCATTAGTTAATAATATTTTTCTTCTTTTTAATTTTTTCTAATTTTTTCTTTTTTTTTCTTATCTTTTTATTTTTATTTTATTGTTATCTTAAATTAAATATATTAATTATACAATTTTCTTGGCATATTTATTATTTTTTTTATTTTTTTATTGCTAAAGTGTAGTCTTGTTTACAGTAGTGTCTAATCTAGTATACTGTTACCGTTTTTATTGATATTAAGTTCTCGATGTATTAATCACATGTTTTATTAAGATAAGATTAAGTCTTTATAATGGGAGAGATTAAGATTTATTACTAAAGGTAGGTAACGTGTGTTCTTGTTGTGACGAGCTAGAATGACATTCAATAACTTCACTAAGTTTTGTATATTATTTAGAATTTCAAAGGTGATAATACAAGTAATAAGTTTTATCAAGTGACTGTCTTTCAAGTCAATAACAATGGTTTATTATAAGCGATCTATCTTTCAAGACCAAAAACCAATACAAATATAA